CACTTCTATTAGAAGTCAGCTCTAGGACCAGAAGAACCAACTTTGGGATTGCTGAAGACCCTATCCACCAGGCTGGAACTTTGTGGGTGTGATAAGTAGCTGTTTTAGCATTGGGCAACAGAGAGAAGGTGGAGTAACATGAATACTGACTACAGACTCAGCAATAGGAAATGGAAAAATACTTTTGTTTTCTTTGCTATGGTGCTAGTGCTAAAGTTCAAGGGCAACCAGAATGAAAAAATGGCATCAAGCTGCAAATGAAATAAGTTTAAAGGATCAATGATAATTTGAATCTGGCACTAGAAGCATGAAGATTGCTTCACAGTGTACAGTTTATATGTGACGGAAATGCTGTTCTTCTCTGAAAAGCAGGCTTTGCTCCACATCCGGAAAGGATCTCCCTCTCTCATGAAAGAGGAGCCCCCCCCCCGCTTCTTTCAGTTTTTGAACAGCAGTCCAAGTGAGGTGGCTTCACTATTCCAGCTATTGCTGGGAATGAAAGAAGACAAGGCAACCACAGGATGAAAATCCAACAGACACAGAAGCAAGGAGAAGGTCAAGAACATGATACATCCAGGAAAGAACAGTTGGAGAATAGAGGTAGCAAGAGAAAAATACAGCAGCATCACCAGATCTTGGCTTTAGACAGCCAGATCCATATAATCCCTACTCAGAAGTAAGTCCCACTAGGTTCAATGGGGCTTTACGCTTCATTGGGACAATTCAATAACGATATCCAGATGGTGAGATTCTCTTGCAATATGAGCACCTTCTTTATTGTCTTTTCAATGACAAAGTATTATATTATTATATTAAACAATATAATATTAATATTATCAATAATTATAATATACTTAATATTATTATGCCTTTTTAATTGCCTTTGGTTGCCAATGTTTTAATTTGGGGATGTATTATTTTTATTTGAACACTTTAATCTTGTTTGTGCCACTTGGATGTTATGCAATAGTGCAGGGTGTAAATTAGTATGAATGAATCAGGATACACTTTGGTTTTTCATGTATCCTTTTGCTCTCATCTCAATCTCCTCCCTGTGTTTTCTTCCCAGCAGTTAAAACTTTAATGGTGAGCTTCATGGGAGAAAAGGCTAGTTTTTTATATGTAAGTTGTACTGAAAAATATTGTCTATATTAGTAGTGTGAACTAATGAATGAATAAAGAATGTAAGGGACACCTTGTTGGATCTGACAATGATCCATATTCTGCTTTCCACTGGGACTATCCAGATGCTTCTAAGAAACCTAGAAGCAGAGCAGGAAGGAAATCCCCTCCCCTATTCTTGTCCATCCCCAACACGATATAGCTGGAAGTATACAGCTTCTGGACGTTCTACTTTATGAGTTGTTATAGCTATAATAGGTATTGAAAAATCTTATCTACTTCCACTATTGCATTTAATCCCATTTGAACTGAAACACACATGATTTGGTTGCTTCTATTCATGCTTTCTTAACTTTGATTCTCCCTACTCTTCCTCTATTTCCATTGTCAAGTTTTCAGTCTAAAATTAAGAGGGAGTACTGTACACATGTCCAGTAGTAATGTATGGCTGTGAGAGCTGGACCATAAAGAAGGCTGAGCGCCGAAGAATTGATGCCTTTGAACTGTGGTGCT